AATCTTCAGAACTCACTCTTCCCAACATGACTGCCTTCTCTTCCCTTCTGTTGTTCCTCTGTCACGAGGCTAAACGCAAATATGTGCACTGCCACGGCCAGACACTCAGAGTTGACTCAGTCCAGTTCTGGGCACAGGGTAGGTGCTCAATGAAAGTGTTGACTTATCTGGACGTAGTAAACACATATGCTCATGCGAACTCAAATGCCAGATGCTTCATCTGGAAACCGTCTTCCCCTGGTAGAAATGTCGGCACAACCCTTTGGCATTAAAGCCCCAGAAATCAGTTTAGTATTTCTATTTGAGCCTGGCCCACTGGTTAAAACCTTGAAGCTCTAATCAAGGCTTTTAATCTTTCCTCCATAGCAGCCGGAGTGGTTACCTTAGGAACAGAAAGGTCGGAACCTTGAGCACAGGCAGAAGACTGTGGCTTCTTTAGAAGCCTTATTACTTCTCCCTTTTCTCATTCCTTTTGTCTCTGATAACTGAAGAAAGGTAGAAAGAGGTGAGAGAGAGAAAAAGCAGATTTGCTACAAGGACGCTTGGTATTAGTGAAGAAAGGAATTATCAGAGGAGGCAGGACATCTCTGAGCAAGGCTTTTGGGTCTTCTTAAAAAAAGGTTTGTTTATTTATTGAGAGAGAGAGAGAGAGAACGAACGTAGAAAAAGGGTAGAGGGAGAGGGAGAGAGAGAGAATCCCAAGCAGGCTCCATGCTGTCAGAGCAGAGTCTGACATGGGGCTCGATCTCATGACCTGAGAGATCATGAGCTGAGCTGAAATCAAGAGTGAGATGTTTAACCAATTGAGCCACTCAGGCGCCCCAAGGCTTTTGGCTCTTAACAAGATGGGTAGGCAGTAGGACTAGTCAACCTCTTGGGGGAAGCCATGCATGGAGTGGCTCCATCGTCTCAAAGCCTTTGTGTGCTCACACGGGTATAGCTGTGATATGGGCAGTGGTCACCAGAAGACTAGAATACCTGCTATGTCTTCTCCATCTTCCCATGGGGTGACTCCACCCCACCCCCCATGCCCCAGGATTGTAGGCAGTTTTCCTCCGGGCACTGTTTCAGGCCCCAAATTATGCATAACATTTTGAGCCAATGACTTTCTCCGCTAACATATTTGGTAGCAAACAGAAATACAGGTCTCACTTCTCATCTTCATACTCAATAGTCAATCCTTAAATGCTTGCACAGCACTCCTGAACCAGAGGCAAAGTCAATCAAAAGGGGTTTTGGCTAGGGACAGGGAGGGATCTCTTATGAAAGGGAGGCCTTTTCCTAAAAACCTTCCTGCCACCACTGACCCCCAATCTTGAAAGGACCCAAGAAGCCTTTTATTCACAAGACACAACTGGCCTTCTAGTTCCAGATCCTCAGAGGAAAAGTGATCATTTCCCGGAAAGGAAAGGATCCCTGAAATTCAGTCCCTCCAATGCGTTAATAATGCAAATCCAGTGGGACCATTTCATTCACGTTGGAGAAAATTCCCAGGAGAAAGCATTCATAATATCAAATTTTAACTCAGTGTCAACTCTACAAAGCATGTTGATTCAAAGCCTGGATTTTAAGTCAGTCTGCCTGGAGTTGCATGATGGCTCTACCACGTTTTAATAGTGAATAAACTTCCCTCTTCTATACCTTGGTCCCTTATCTTTGGAATAAAGACATTAGTAGTACCTCCAATATAAGATTCTGGTGATAATTACACGAAACAACAGACATACAAACATAAGCTTAGGGCAGTGCCTGGCACACAGCAGGTGCTCCTTAAGTGTTGCCTATCGCTATTGTTGCTGCCACAGCTCCCATTTTGTATTTTTTATTTGAGTAAGGTGAACTGGTTTGCATAGAGCATAAAACTGTGGGTCTATATAGAGGTATTGGCTTGAGCAGCAAAATATGGAGTTTAAAGTAAAATAGAAAAGATAGAGGAAAGGGACCTATAATACCGTTGAAAACCCCTGAACTGGATTCAAAAAGATGCATGCATGTTTTTAGAGAACAAATATGTTGACTGGGTGCTTAAAACTGGGAATTTCAAGCTATGCTGGGAATGAAAAGATGAACAAAATGCAGGGTCTGCTTCCCTCCAGAAGCTCATCACCTCATGTGGAGATTCACGGGTAAATGGGCCATTAAAGCACAGCACAATATGCCATTGCTATTATGTGGTATAAAATGGGAGGTGCCAGCTTGTGAACAATGATATCTCAGCTCCTTTCAGGTTGGGGGCGGTGCTCAGCTGTAGGAGGGCATCAGGGAAAGTTCTCACTTGTAGGAAGTTCCTCCCTCTATCTCTAAGTCTATGATGGATTTTATCTCTGGTTCAGGAATGCTGTGTAAGCATTGTATGAGCAGTATCCTGGAAAGGTATTTTGAACAATCTTTGAGCAGAAGGAGCTTCTTAAAGGAAATGGCATCTAAGCCACAAATCGAAGGTGAATTTGAATTAGGCGTAGAGTGGGGAAGATTTTTCTGGGCAGGGAAAGAAATCTATGCAGATGGCCAACAAGAGACAGGGTGGTTTAAGGAAATGTGAGTGGTTCAATATGGTCAGGTGGTTGGAGCTGCAAGGATTAATAAGAAGAATCAGACCACCAAGGGTCTCCTTTTTTTTTTTTTTTTAATTAAAAAATTTTTTTTTAATTTGAGAGAGAGAGAATGCATGAGCAGGAGAAAGGGGCAGAGGGAGACAGAGAATCTTAAGCAGACTCCACACTCAGCACAGAGCCTGACATGGGACTCTATCCCACGACCCTGGGATCATGAGCTGAGCCGAAATCGAGTGGTTACTCAGCAGACTGAGCCCTCGAGGTGCCCTCCACCAAGGGTCTTCTAAGCCATGTCATATAGCTTGACTCTTGTTTGAAAGTGGTAGGGACCCAACGAAGGTGGTGTGACATTTAAATGTCACTTTATTGCTCTGGGAGAATGGATGTGAGGCGCCAGACGGAGGCCTCCTGCAGCAGTCCAGGTTAGCGGAGAATGGTAGCCTGCCACATGGTGATGGAGTCAGAATGGAGAATGATGGAGTGATCTGAGAGGATGTTTATAAGGCAGAACCAAAAAGACCTGGCAACTTAATGGAGATGGACTGGGAGCAAAGGAAAACGAAGGGCTAAGGCAGGCAGCCTTAGGTAGCCTTGGCAGATGAGCAGATGGCTTTCTCAAATAAGGAAAAAGAAAGAACAGACTTGGAGGGAAACAATATGGGTTTCGAGGATGTTCTACAAGCGCTTATGGACATCCAAAGAGAGATGAGCCATTGGATATATGACTCTGAAGTGCGAGAGTTCTGAGAAATCACACACACACACACACACACACACACACACACACACACGGCTTTGTTCCCATGGCTCCATGAAATGTTGTCATCAAGGCCATTGGGAAAAATCAGTTGGGATTTCGATTGTTGGGTGAGTACCTCTTCCTTCCAAAACCACTTCTTCAAAGGGACTATGGTGGTCCAGAGGATGGATAGTCTTTCTCAGGGATCCGGTTTCTTATCCCCATACCCATCTGATGGACAGCCCCATAGTTCGTAAAGCTATCATCCCACAACTAGTCACCGTTCAAAGCAGAGAACTGCCCTTCTGGGACAGGATGGGGACACCACCAGTGCCCAGTGGTGACGCGTTCCAGCAGTAGGTGACCCCACGTGGGACAGACCCCCCCCCCAGTCCTGGCCGCTCCTTCTTTGTCTTTAAGGGATGAATCAGCTCCAGTAGGGCTCCCCGTACGATCCCCCATAACTGCAGCCCGGGCTGATTAGCTTCCTCAGCCAGCATTAAAGCATGTTAAATGTTTGAGGGCATGATCTCTTTGCTGCTTAAAGCTCACTCCCACCAAGCACGCTCCAGGAGTCCAGGGGAAAAAGAAGTCCCTTGCCATCCACCAGATGTGTTTATTGCAGGAGGAAGAGAAGCCTAAGCAATTCTCCCCAAGTGGTCAGAATCTTAACAAGGGTGGTAATTCCCTTCACATTCGGATCCGGCATTAACCGCATCCATAAACTAAATCTAAAAACAGCAGAAATATAATAAAAAGATATTTATGGAGGCAATGTATGAGAGGTAATAGTGAAGAGACTCCCTCCCCCTCGTCAGTCCCAGAGCTCTGTGGTCCTGAATAACTGGCAACCCTCCATCCTCGTAAACTCCAAGCACTGCTGACTTCCCAGCACATGGCCTGCTCCTCCGGGCCGTGGGTTCCTCACAGAAAGGCCCAGCATGCATTCATTGCATTGAAACAGAAAATGAAAGAGGTCTTTTGCTTTCGTCCTAAAGCAGAAAGCTGCCCCGAGTTTATGGGAAATTACCATTGTTGTGGGTGTTCTAAAGTTTTCATTTAATTAAAGAGCAAAAATTTCAGATCTGCTCATGGGGCGGGGGGGGGGGGGGGGGGCGCGGAGGCCATCCCCATGCCAAAAGGACGGCCACCTGCTGTGAGGCATGCAAAGCCAGAGGCTTGGAGGTGAGGGTGTTGTCTGGGGGGCAGCAATGGTTTCCGAACGAAATCCTGGAGAACAGTTGATGGTGAGGAAGGGCAGGGCGCTGGCAGAAGTGCGGGAGAAAGGAACACAATGCTTTACGTTCAAATGACACCTTTTGTTCCAGATTTCAAAGCTCTGCACGTTATCAATGAAACCTGGAGCATCATCCGAGGTCAGCATCCTCACCCCATTTCACAGATGGGCATGGAGGCCCTGTGAGTGACAAGAGCAGCCACACCAGCAGGAGAGCTCTGAATAGAACAGCTCCTCCCCCTCCCCGGACGCAGACTGCTTCCCTCTCTTCTGAGTGAGTTGGAGCCCAAACCTCAGACTGGAACAGGAGCAAAGTCAACTCAGCCTTTCCTCCCTTCCCTGCTTCGGAGGGGGCTGGGGCTCACCCCAGGGCTCCTGCTTCTGCTGGGCTGAAGGGGTCCTTGGAACCAGACCTCGGAGAGTCAGGGCTGCCATCTGCTCTTTGTGGACATTTAATATCTCGGGGTGATTTCCGCAAAGAACAGTTTATTCCAGGCCCAGGCTGGATGCTCCTTTTACAGATGTGCAGGGGCTGTGTGCTCTCTGTGTTCCTGGCCATTACCCTCCCACCCTCGAAGAGACTCGGATGAGAAGCAGATCAGGTGGCTTCTGTGGGTCGGTGGCTTAGAAATGATGAGGGGGTGGCCGAAACACAAAGTAGGATCCTCATCTTGAATCCCGCACCGGCGCCAGCTGGTAATTTGCTTCTGTGGAACTTTGGTTTCAGAGAGGATGATTCCATTTGAAAAGGACTTGGTGTTTTCCCATCGTGCTGATGAAATTGACTTCCCTGGATGGTAGGAGGCCTGCAAATTTGAAAACAGGAAAGCATTTTGCTTTGCTGCAATTCACTTTTTGGTTAAATAGTATTCAAAGAGGTAGGGAGTTAAAACTCATTTTGTCATTTTCCAGTCCTGAGGGAAAAAAGAAAAGAAAGAAAGGGGTAGCAAAATATGTAAAATAATGCAATAGTAAGAGCCCAAATGCTGGTCTTGGCTACCTCCCATTTCCTAAGGAAACTTCAAGCAGCCACTTAATAAACCCAGAGTCTAAAATAGACTCTGATTTTGACACTGTCAATTTGTGTGGAAAGTGATGAGAAACAGAAATCATAGCAAAGCTATTAGGGCAGTAATTATAGAAACATTTGAAGTTCTGTAAGAATGATTCAGAAGCCCTGTAAGGAGTCTTGGGCGGCTGTCCACTGCCGTGCTGGAGGCTGTTGGATCATCAGTGTTTTTCCCTCTTTCTCTTTTGTTTTCCAAACGTAGAGGTCAAATGCAGAGCAGCAAAGCAGGCAAAAAAACACATGTTTCAGTTTGGGGTGGGGGGGATCCTATCCCCTGTTTGTCTCTCTCCTTCCTGCCCCCCCTTTGTCGATTTCCCTCTTACTCTCTGTAAATTTTACCTCCCCCTCCCACCTTTCAGTCATTCCTGTCTTCAGATATTTGCCTTTCTTCTTGATTTACTAACATAGTATATATCTCAGCTTTTCTCTGGACTGATGATGTTCTGGCTAAATAAAATAGATATAGATGTAGATAGAGATAGAGATATATAGATTGATATATCTATAACTATATATAGATTGATATATCTATAACTATAATATCTATTGATATAGATATCTATAGATCTATAGATATATAGTGATATAGATAAGTATATATAGATTGATATATCTATAACTATAATATCTATATCAATAGATCTATATCTATAGTTATCTATATCTATAACTATATCTATAGATCTATATCTATAGAGATCTATAGATCTATATATCTATAGGTCTATATCTATCTATAGATATATCTATAACTATAATACCTATATCTATAGATCTATATCTATATTGATATAGATACTATAGTTATAGATATATCAATCTATATATCTATATCTCTATATCAATGTATACTGGGATGTTATGATGTCCCTCTAAAGCCAGCAGAATTTTTCTCCATCTTAGAAGATATAGAGACATATAGGGAGAAACGCATCTGCAGACTGCTGCCACATCAGGGAGCATCACTTCAAGGAGATTTCAGCTGTGATAAAATCGCAAAACAATAACACTGTGTGGACCTTGCCTCCCAAGCTGTTATAACCTGAAGAACAGAGGCAACGACAACAAAGCTGCTGGGCTCCTTCACGACCACCACACACTGGACTCTCCAAACGATGCGTCTGGAATGAAATGAATTAACAAGTAAATAGGAAGGCTGAGGATGGTGGGAGGGATTGAGAATGAAAGCTTCCAAAGGCATATCTACACTTGGTTGAGACTCTTGGTCTCGAGATAGGACATGATGCTTCTGCACGAAGATCTTTCACAGAATAGCAGTGTCTGTGATGCACATGTAGATGAGAAGGGCCTGATGGAAACAGTTCCAGGACCTTGTCAAGCCTCTAGGAGAGGAATTCGCAGACTGTGCCCTTAGTTTGGGCATGCCACAAATAATCTCCGGGACAAAGATTCAAGTGCAATTAGCTTATCTGGGATGGTACCCAGGAAGCACCTATAGGACAAGGAAGCAGGACAGAAAGGAAAGGTAGCAAACAGGGGGCAACGTAGTTCCCACAGTGGGTGCCTTGGACTCCACCTTGCTGTGGAAATGCGGGAACCAGGGTAGAAAATGCACTTCTAGGGGCGCCTAGGTGGCTCAGTCGGTTGAGCTCTGGCTTCGGCTCAGGTCATGATCTCACAGTTCATGGGTTCGAGCCACACATCAGGCTCTGCGCTGATAGCGCAGAGCCTGGAGCCTGCTTCAGAGTCTGTGTCTCCCTCTGTCTCTCTGCCCCTCCCCTGCTTGTGCTCTGCCTCTGTCTCTCCAAAATAAATAAACGTTAAAAAAAAATTTTTTTAATAAAAAAAAGAAAGAAAGAAAATGCACTTGTGGATGTACCCAATAGGATACAAGGGCTCCAAGGACATATGTATCCCATGACACTTTGGCTTCTATTCTGGATGAACAAAGGTCACCCTGGAGGTCAGTGAATGCCTTTAGGACAAGATGTGTAGCTGCAGGCAGCTGGAAGCCCCGCCCACCCAAGTTTTGAGGGCAGTAGGTGTGGGCGGGGCACTCACTGGCAGCCCTGCCACAGCCTGAGATGGTCCCTCGTAATTTCTAATTTCTTTGTTACAACAACTTATTAAATAAAATCTAGAGTCACGTGGCTCTTTGGTTGGCAATGATTGTAAATGGTGATCCCAAATTATGGAGATGGGGAATACTCAGAATTTAGAAGATTTAGTCGCTGGGGAGACTCGGTGGCTCAGTCAGCGAAACTTCCGACTTTGACTTAGGTCATGATCTCACGGTTGGTGAGTTCAAGCCCCGAGTCAGGCTCTCTGCTGCCAGCACAGAGCCTGCTTCACTTCCTCTGTCCACCTCTCTCTCTGTCCCTCCCCTACTTGCACTCTCACTCTCTCAATAAATAAATAATAATTAAATTAATTAATTAATTAAAAAAAAAAAGATTTAGTGGTTGAATGGTCCATGGAGGGGAGAGCCTCACCTGAGAGGGGCTTTGAGTATAAGTGTTCCTGTTCCTGTGCATTATTCCATAGGTCCTACAGAAAAAGAGCCACTTACCAATTGCGTGTACATTCATTCTTGTGCATCCCTTTCTTCTCAGCACACTTTGAACCGGTATTTGGCGAATAGTTAAGTGTACCCAATAAATGATTGGTAAGTGAATCAATGAATGAGTACTGATTCATATCTCTCTAATGAAAAGCCTAGTCCTTGACAATTTGGCAGTGACTTACCTGGAGATTTATGGTAATTTGGTATAACCAGGGTGACATAGGATAGCAACAACCATTAGCATTGGGCTATTATGTCCATCAGTCATGAGGACAAGCCTATGAGGGTGGGGGTAATGTTGACCTTGCTCACCATTGACTTTCTAGGGTCTTGCAATCAGGTTTGTTGGATGAAATGAATGAATGAATGAATGAACAACCGATGTGAAGTCACAGGATGGTTTGGTTGCCAAGAGTGCAGATGTGGGAGTTAGGTTGCCTGGGTTCAAATCCCACCTCTGTCCCTTCCTAGCTCCATGATTTTGAGCAGAGTATTTAAATTCTTAGCGCCTTACTTTCCCCTTCTATAAATGAAGTCAACTGTAGTATCTATCCCACAGGACTGTTGTAAGGATTAAATTATTTAATGCATTTAAAGCATTTAGAACAGTGTCTAGAGAATAGTGAGCCTCATAAGAAGTTGGCTGTTATTATGGAAGACCAGAGTCTCCTGAACACCAAGAATTATTTTCCCAAAAATGAAAATATGACCAATGTGGCCATTGCCTTAATAAATTCTAAGTCCTACTTTTATCGTCTGCAGAACTTTGAGATTTCAGAGCAGAACCCTAGGCAAATGAGTTTCTGCAACTTCAAAACATTTGAAAAATGCAACCCTTATCAAAATCCCAATGACTTTTTTTCAGAAATAGGAAAAATCCATTCCAAAAGTCATACAAATTTTAAGGGACCCTGAGTAGCCAAGACAATTTTGAAAAAGAACAAAGTTGGGGGCCTCACATTTCCTGATTTTAAAACTTATTACAAGCTTACAGTAATCAAAACTGTGTGGTGCTGGCATAAAGACAGACAGTCCAATGGAATAAAATGGAGAGCCCAGAAATAAACCCTTTCATATATGGTCAAATGATTTTTGAGGAAGGTGTCATTCAATGGGGGAAAGGATGGTCTTTTCAAGAAATGCTTTTGGAAAAACTAGATATCCACATGTAGAAGAACAAAGTTGGTCCCTTACCTTATGCCATATATAAAAATTAACTCAAAATGGATAAAAGACCTAAACATGAGAGTTAAGTTATAAAACTCTTAGAAGAAAATGTAGGAGAAAAGCTTCAAATATTGAATTTCACAGTCATTTCTTGGATATGACACCAAAAGCACAGTCAACAAAAGTAAAATGTAATACATTGGACTATATCTAAATTAAGAACATCTCATGTTAAGAACATCTCATGCCTCGGGGCGCCTGGGTGGTGCAGTCGGTTGAGCGTCCGACTTCAGCCAGGTCACGATCTTGCGGTCCGTGAGTTCGAGCCCCGCGTCAGGCTCTGGGCTGATGGCTCAGAGCCTGGAGCCTGTTTCCGATTCTGTGTCTCCCTCTCTCTCTGACCCTCCCCTGTTCATGCTCTGTCTCTCCCTGTCCCAAAAATAAATAAACGTTGAAAAAAAAAAAAAAAAAGGAACATCTCATGCCTCAAAGGTAGCAATCAAGAGTGAAAAGGCAACCTGTGGAAAGGGAGGAAATATTTACAAATCATACATGTGATAAGAGACTAACATACAGAATATATAAAGAACTCCTACAACAAACAGCAACAACAAAAACTCAAATAACTTAATTTAAAAGTGGGCAAATAACTTGAACAGACATTTCTCCAAAAAAGATACACAGATGGTCAATGAATACATGAAAAGATGCTTGACATTATTAGTAATTAGCAAGTGCAAACCCAAACCTCAATGAGATGCCACCTCATACCCATTAGGATGATTACCATCAAAAACTAAAAAAGACAGAAAATAACAAGGTTTGGGGAGAATGTAGAGAAAATGAAACCCTTATGCGCTGCTGGTGGGAATGTAAAATGGTATGGGAAACAATATGGCAGATCCTCAAAAAAAAACAAAAAAAACTAAGCATAGAATTATCATATGATCCATAAATTCCAGTTCTGAGTAGATACCCCAAGTAATTGAAAACATTCTTGAAGAGATTATCTGTACAACTATGTTCATAGCATTATTCACAATACTGAAAAGGTAGAAGTAACCCAACTATCCATTGATTGGTGAATGGATAAACAAAATGTAGTCTACATGCACAACAGATTATTATTCAGCCTTAAAAAGGAAGGAAAGGGGGCGCCTGGATGGCTCAGTCGGCTAAGCGTCCGACTTCAACTCAGGTCACGATCTCGCGGTCCGTGAGTTTGAGCCCCGCGTCGGGCTCTGGGCTGATGGCTCAGAGCCTGGAGTCTGCTTCGGATTCTGTGTCTCCCTCTCTCTCTCTACCCCTCCCCCGTTCGTGCTCTGTCTCTCTCTGTCTCAAAAATAAATAAATGTTAAAAAAAATTTTTTTTTTTTAAAAAGGAAGGAAAGTCTAACTCATGCTACAACATGGATGGGTCTGGAGGACACTATACTAAGTGAAATAAGCCAGTCACAAAAAGATGAATACCTTATGATTCCATTTATATGAGGTACCTAGAGAGGTCAAATTCAGAGACAGAAGGTAGAAGGGCGGGTGCCAGGGGCCAAAGGCAGTGGGGAATTGGGAGTTGTTATTTAATGGGACTAGAGTTTAAGTTTGGGAAGATGAAGAAAGTTCTAGAGATTATTTTTACAGTGATATGTATATACTTAACCCTATGGAGCTGTTCAGTTAAAAATGGTTAAGGTGATAAGCTTTATGTTATGTGTTTTTTATTTAAAAACTTTAAAACACACACAAAACTGAAAAATACAGGGATAGAAAGCTAGACCGGGTATCAGGAGATTTGAGTGCCTATCCTGACTTTGCTTAGTGCATACCTTAGCTAAAACATGTGAGAAGCAGTATTAGAAAAGCATTTGGAACATTTTTTTAAAAGATGGCATTGTTATTAACGATCATCAGCATAATTACATTACATTATTATTAAAACACTGTACTATCAAGACAAATGTTTTTTTTCCTTGACCGATTTTAGGCAAAAACAGATGATAGAGAAGCTATCCTGTTGGTTCAGATTAACACCCTAATAGAAGAAAGAGGGCAAACCTGAAAATGGCAGTAATTTACTTAAAAGCAATTTTAAAAGCAAAAAATAATAATAGTAGCAGTAAATCTGTGACACAGACTTCATTTGCTATTAGGAGTGAATTTGGATGGGTCTTGGAGCCTTCTACCATAAATCAAAACTAATTTGAGTTTGGATGATTTTCTTTTTCATATGGTGTATTTAACTCTTATCAGATGGATATATGGCCAAATAAGTAATGACATGTGCACAGTAAATTAAGCTAAAGTCATTTTCTTCCTTTAGGGATTTAATGTGGGTAAAGCATCATACAGGGATGATTTCTTCAGACACTCACCCCTGTCAGAGACTGCGGGAGACCCGAGTTATTAACATAGCATAAAAGAAGGAATTTGG